CAGGAAAGTTCCGCAGTTAAGACATTGTCGAAAGAGAAGTGCCAAAGGATCTGCAACGGTATCGGAACAAATTTTGAAAAATAACGGACGAAGACCCTCAATGTCAGATTTTGCGCTGCTTGTCAACTTTGAAATTCACAGACGAACAGTAATTTCGAAGGAAGAGATTGGTGGTAAAGACGAGTTATGAAATGCAGAAATCGATGAAGTGGTAAACTTCACTGTTAAGTACACTGGCGTTTTAAAGTATTATCTGTTACTTACATTCATAATTTCGCTTTGAAGAAAAGTGTACTGAAAAGTACTGATTTTTCAGCATGAAAAAGTGTAACGTACTGATTTCGCGCATAAAAAATCTGGCCCCTAGGAGGGGCTAAATATATTTTTTATCAGTATAAAAAACATTTCGGTTTAGTCAGAAATACTCTAAAACTATTTTAATCATTATTTTACATAAGTAAATGTTAAGCTTCAGATTTTACGATGGTTAACAGGTCTTGTGAATCCCCTAACTGTATCGCTTACGATAAAATTATAGGATCTCAAAAGTATAAACAAAACCAACGATAAAATTCATTTTGCTTTATTTCCGTAACGATAAATATTCAAAGTCTGTGATTTTGTAGGACGTGTTAACTCTTATTTGTAACCTATGTATTTGCAACAAAAAAATTGTTTTCGATATAAGGGGTCGATATTTATATCTAATTGGGCGCCCTCAAATGTGTTCGCATTTTTTGTTAATGGCTTATCCTCTTTGCAGTGTTGCCACAAAAAAATTACCAAGTTCCTCAAAAACAAACGAAAAATCCTCAAAATCCGAACAAATTACTAAAAAATTTCTTATTACAGATATGAATATTGTGTACTGCATACTATTTACAGGTACTTAGTATACAAATTAGTTACATTCTCCAATTCAATTGGTACATTTGTTCTTACGGTTCAAACAAAGTATCACCATTATTTTGTATGCCTTGGTTTGTATATAATACTAGCAGAGCACCCGACGTCGTTCGGGGTAAACAAATAAAATTATATAAAACAGTGATACAAATATTCAGTTCAGCCTAATTAAAGTGGACAAACTATTTTCTTTTTTTACATTAAGGCATCCTTATGAGCTATACTTTTAGCTTTATCTTGCTTTATTTAAATTATATATTGATCATTACTTGTACTACAAATCTTGTTCCATTATTAATATTAGGTGGATGAAGGTAACGATCAAATTTCTAAATTAAAATTAGTCTACTACGGTACATTCCGTTTAGCTGCCTATTCGCTTAGCTGTTTTAGTATAGCTGCACTTTTCTGGTAGAATGCTTAATTCGAAAGGAGTTTTATTCATTATAAATGAACCATTTTCGTTTAACAGCATCGCGGGAATAAAAAACGATTTAATCTTTCCAGTTCAAAATAATCTAAAGACGGTAAGGTTTCAAAAAAAACACACAGTTTTAAATATCCTAGTTATCTAATATATGAATACATATATGTATATCCCCCTTTTACAATCTCATTTATATATAATTTACTCTGAACACCTTCCATAGATGCCTACTATGTCGGAATACCAAGCTTCAATTTCATGTGACTTATGGTTCCAAATTTATGGCTGATTAAAAATTCCACGCCTACGGGCTGTGCCACGCCCCCTTTTATAAACTCATTCATATACACCTTACTATAAGCACATACCATAGATATGTCTGCATACCAAATTTAAACTTCATGTGACTTATGATTTTAAAGTTATAGCTGATAAAAACTTCCACGCCTATGGGATTTGCCGCACCATCTTTTACAAACTCGTTTATATTTATCTTTTTATAAGCACCTACGACAGCTATACCTGCATACCAAATTTCAAGTTCGGGCGACATATGGTTCCGAAGTTATAGCTGATAAAAGTTTCCACGGATATGGGATATGCCACGCCCCTTTCACAAACTCCTATAAACACCTACCATTGATATGTTTGCACACCAAATTTCAAGTGCGTGGGACTTATAGTTCAGAAGTTATAGCTGATAAAGGATTCCACGCCTATAGGATGTGCCACGCCCCCTTTATTTATAACTATATGTATAGAAAATCACAAAATACGAGATTAACATACATACACTAACACAAACACATTTCATTTAACTTACTCACTCTCACCTAACACGATATAAGACACAGCCTTACTAGGTATAACATAATTGTAATTAGTCTTAAGAGTTTAGTTCACTATTAAATGCCACTATAACCGCATCTTTGGTACTTTATTCCGATCCGGGCTCTTAATTTTACACATGGTGCCGAAACCCGGGAGCGGGCAATTAGTTTAAAATAGCGAATTTCAGTAAACTATACCGTTTGTGCATTTTATAGTGAGCTCTAGAAAAAACAACGACGATATTCTTTAAAACAATAAATTTACATAAAACACGAGCAACCGTGGTAACGAATATTGAAGTGCCATTGTAAGGTGAAAAATGGAATCGGTCCATCGGGCTACTTGTCGTGGTCAGCTAACGAAGCTTATTAATCAAGCTACTGAGTACTTGGAAAACACAGACTTTTCCAAATTAAGTGAAAAACAAACCTTGCTTGAAAACGTGGGGACTCTCTTGCACAGGTTAAGGAATGCGCATGAAAATTTAAAAAAGGCGGACGTAGCCGTGAGAAAAATAATAAAACAGGAGGATATGGAGAAGGAATGCGAGTCAGTGCTAGACTATGACGACAAGGTGATGACAATTATTGCAAAGTTGCAATCGCGCAAAAAGAGTTTAGCAGGCCGACTTGAGCATACTATGAATACGTCCACCAATGGCGCTGGTGAGCAATCGTCTCATGGAGTTAAGCTCAAATCTCTTGAGCTGAAGAAATTCGACGGAAGCTTCGAAAAATGGTTGCCCTTCTGGGAGCAATTCAAGCCAACAGTGCATGTTAACCCCCTTCTTTCATCAGCAGCAAAGTTTAACTTTTTGAGCGAAGCATTGGTTGACAGGGCTTCATCAACGACTCAAGGATTCACTCCCACAGAGGAATGTTACTCTGAAGCCATAGCACTGCTACAAGATGAGTACGGAAATACCGAAAAGATAATCGAGAAATACGTACAAAAGCTTCTTAATTTAGAGCCAGTACAAACTACCAGCGACGTGCAGGGCTTACGATCATTATACAATCCGGTGATGTCAATTACTCGAACATTGTCCGCGTTGAAGGTCACCCCAGCTCAATACACGATCACCGTAAAATCCGTTATTCTTAAATGCTTACCTAAGCAAATGAGAATACAATTTTTTCGATTGCCTGAAACAAAGACAACAGCGATTTCGACTTTAAATAGCACGATGCGAGACATAGAAGATGACCAACTTAAAGCGATTCTCCAATATATGAAAAGAGAAATTGAAGCCATAGAGAAAGCACAGTTATCAGAAGTTCCGAAAAAAGCGAGATTAAAACTACCAACAAAACCAAGCAAGGAACAGCTACCGGCTTAGTTTCCATAACAGCGAGCGAGAAATGCATATTTTGTAACAAAGAGAATCATAACGCACAGAATTGTAGAAGCACAATTAGCCTTGCCGACAAGAAGAAGGTATTGCAAAAGGAGGGACGATGTTTTCGTTGTACGAAGAAAAACCACACATCAAAATTTTGCAAAGCACATTGGGTTAAATGTAAAAACTGCGCAGGTAGACACCTAACGACGATGTTTGAACGACGTGAGAAGAAGCCTGAGGGGGAGCAGAGGAATCATTACCCAAACGCAGCAGAAGGTATTGAAAAAGAGATGAGCTACAACAGCAAAAAAGCGGCTGCATTAAGCACACTAGCGAGCGAAGGTCATTCGGAGTACTTACTGCAAACAGCGAAAGCCATCATAAGTAGCGAGAGTAATACAAAAAGGGTGTTATCAAGAATAGTGATGGACAACGGCAGTCAACGTGCATTTGTGCATGAAAAGGTAGCAAAAATGCTGAAATTAAAACCGTGTGGAGTTGAAGAAACAACAATTACCGGCTTTGGCCACGATTGAGAGAATACAAAGGTTGCGCCGATCTCGGACCGCTATTCCTCTCTTAACGAATTTGACAGAATCGTTGTTTGCATGATGTCACACTTGTGCAACTTGTTTACGTTTTCCTTGCAACATTTTTTCTTCTTCTTCCATCCTTGCTCATGTTTTGGCATTTCTCTCTCCCAATGCACCAGTGTGACGTCACACAAAAGTTATTCTCAAAAATCCCCTCTGATCGGCGCAATCTTGTATTCTATCATTCTTGGGCTTTGGCGACAAAAATAAAAACAGAATACCCACTAAATATGAGTGCGTTCAGATCCTATTGCAAAGCCAATATAATGGGAAAACAATTTTAATACGGGCGATCGTAGTATCGAATATTTGCGCGGATTTAGTGTCAGTGGCAAACGAAATAACCGAAATAAAAAACAAAAACTGTAAACAAATAAAATACGAGTTAGCTGACGCTAATAAAAGCAGTGAACAATTATTACATGGTATTAATTTATTAATCGGACAAGATTATTATTGGAGGTTCAACACTCCAGAAACAAAAAAAATTAGCAGCAACTTATTCGCGGTAAAAACATTTTTTGGGTGGACATTACAAGGCGAAATTGATCGCGGTAAAAACGGACAAATAGCGCTGAATGAAAATAAACAAACGACAAAAGGTGTACAAAATGAACCAGAAGGAAATCAAGACAGTGAATTAATAATACAAAATAATAAATTTTTAGAACAAAGTGAGCATTCTGAAGCTAATAAAACTATAGAATTTGATATCAAGCAATTTTGGAATCTTGAATCAATCGGTATCGTAAATATTAATAGTTGCAAAGAAACTTCAGTGGCGCTAGCTCGGAAAGCGGACGGTCGATATTCTGTTAAATTACCGTGGAAGCTTAAGAGCGAAGATCTACGGGATAATTACAAAATAGCTGTGCGTCGATTACAGTCCTTGACAACGAAAATGCTAAAAGATCAATCAAAAATTTTAGAATACGACAAAGAGGTTAAGAGCCTCATTGACAACGGAATTGCTGAAATTGTGCCCAATATCGAGTCTTCTAGGCCGATTTATTACATGCCGCATAAACCTGTTTATAAAGAAAATAAAAGCACAATGAAAGTGAGAATCGTTTTCGATGCGTCTTCGAGCGAATCCGGCCATACTTCGCTGAATGATCACCTTAGCGAAGGTTCTAATCTCCTTGCCGACTTATTCACAATGCTACTACGTTTTAGGGCAAATCGTATCGCTGTGGTGCGCGATATAGAGAAAGCATTCCTTCAGATTTTACTGGATGAAGCCGACAGAGATACCCATCGTTTTTTATGGTACAAGTCATGTCCAAGCGCAGATCAACATAAGCCAGATCTGGCAATCTATCGTATGACTAGGGTTACATTTGGCATAACATCCAGCCCTTTCCTATTAGCTAGCACTATACGTAATCATTTGGATGAAAGTTTAAAAAGTAATAGCGTGCTGTGTGAAAAACTCAAAGCGTTGTTTTACGTAGACGATCTTATATTCAGCGAACCAACCAAAGAAGCAGCATTGCATGTTGCTAAACAAGCTCAAACCGTGATGGAAGCTGCGAAATTTAACTTAAGGAAATGGAACTCTAACGACGTGGACGTAAGGCGAGAGCTTTCTACAGAGGAAGTAGGCATAGCAGAGCAAAAAATTCTTGGGTTGGCATGGTGCACAGTAAACGACAAAATTTCCGTAGATGTAAAATCTTGTAATGATTATATCCAAACACTACGAGCTACAAAACGTAACGTTTTAAAAGCAATGGCCAAAATTTACGACCCGTTGGGGCTATTGGGCCCATTCACAGTTAGAATAAAAATTCTACTGCAAGAAGTTTGTCGTCAAAAGAAAGAATGGGATGTCATAATGGATGGCGAAACTCAGAGTGCATTTTCACAGTGGCAAGAAGAGCTTGCATTACTAGAAACTTTCTGTGTTGATCGATGTTTGTCAGCAGGCAGTGAATCGATATTGGAATTGCACATCTTTTCTGATGCGAGCCCGAAGGCGTATGGAGCAGTGGCTTATTGTCGACAAATAATGCCAACCGGACGAATTCTCACTAATATTGTGTGCTCAAAAAATCGAGTAAGCCCAATTTCCGAAAATAATAAGGAAGTAGAATTAACGTTACCTAAATTGGAGTTAACAGCAGCTTTGATGGCAGCAAGATTGAAAGAAACCCTTGTAAAAAGCTTGTGCGTTAAAATATCCGCAGTTTATTTGTGGACGGATTCAAGTATTGCATTAAACTGGATAAATGGCTGTGGGCGAAAACCTAAACCGTATATAAAGGCAAGAGTAGCAGAAATTAACCAAATGTCGAACATATATGATTGGCATCATTGTTCCGGCAAGCTTAATCCAGCGGATTTGCTAACCAGAGGTATAAAGGCGAAAAATCTGCTTGAGTCCAATATTTGGAAGTTCGGGCCAAGCTGGCTTCGAGAAAATGAAGAAAACTGGCCAGCGAAGCTTGAAATTCATAGATCATCAGTTTTGAATACTGCCAATCACATCGAGCGAAAAAAGCTAGTAATTGCACCAATTACTACCATTGAAAATTATAGCAGTCTAAAAAAGCTTTTAAGAGTAACTGCATACGCATTTCGTTTTGTAAAACGTTCTAAGAGAAAGTCGACAAACCAACAGTTAGGCAATCGAAAGTGTATACAATATTGTGAAGTCGATGAAATAACGTTTGAAGAACTACAAAAAGCCGAGATGTACTGGATCGAACACACGCAGCGAAATTTTTACAGCAAGGAGTACGAAATATTATCGAACGGACAATAAGTTAATCACTCATCAAAAATATCGTCGTTAAACCCCTATCTGACAGATGGTATACTGCGGTTAAATAGTCGTTTTCCTAAATATGAGCAAAGCGTTTCAAAACGAGATCCAATAATTTTGCCGAAGAGGTCTCATTTAAGTGTGCTGCTGATATTAGAAGTTCATCAATCAACTTTTCATGGTGGTGTAAACGCCGTTCTAGCACAGCTTCGAAATCGTTTTTGGGTCATTCAGGCGAGGCAAGCAATTAAGACAATCCTGCGCAAGTGTGTGATTTGTCAGCGTCTCCATGGCAAAAGTGCTTCTGAGCCATGGACAGTACTACCAACCAAGCGAATAATGACTACGAGGCCTTTCGAGACAACCGGAGTGGATTTCGCTGGGCCGTTGTATGTTAACGGCAACAATGACCAAGGACACAAGGTGTACATTATGCTGTTTACATGTGCAGCTGTACGAGCTGTACATCTTGAGTTAGTGCCAGATATGACGACAAAAAGCTGCCTGGGGGCGATCAGGAGGTTTACGTCGAGAAGAGGTGTACCATCTACGATCATCTCAGATAATGCAAATACTTTTAAGCGTGCAGACTATGAGCTTAGAAAGCTTGAAGATTTGCTTAAAAATCATGAGGTGCGGCGTTTGGCGGCACATAAAGGCGTCAAATGGCAATATATACCAGAGAGAGCAGCTTGGTGGGGCGGCTTCTGGGAGCGCCTCGTAAGGAGCGTCAAATGTGCACTTAAGTCTGCTATTGGCAAAGCCAAACTTTCAGCGAACGAGTTAGCTACATTGTTGACGGAAATCGAGAGCGTAATCAACTCAAGGCCGTTAACCTACATTACAAATGATCACAACGATCTGGAGCCACTGACTCCAGCTCACTTTTTGAACAATTTTAATTCTCTTTTATACTCCACAGAGTTACCAGTAACACAAGCGTCGCTGACGCAATCTTGGTATTTGCAGCAGTCATTGCTTAAACGTTACTTAAAGCGGTGGCACAAGGATTATCTTAACCAGCTTCGATCCATACAGCATTGCAAGAACGGGCCAAGTCGCAGTATTATTGAAGATGACATAGTATTCGTGTATGATGAGCTCAAATCAAGACTTTTGTGGAAAATTGGTATCGTCAAAGCTACATAAATGGGCAGAGACGGTCGCATAAGAGCATGTGATGTGGAACTGGCAAATAATCAAATATTAAGGCGGTCTGTGCAGCATTTGTATCCGCTCGAGATTGCAACAACATTTCCCGGGGCCCAGGATGTAGAAAATCACAAAATACGAGATTAACATACATACACTAACACAAACACATTTCATTTAACTAACTCACTCTCACCTAACACGATATAAGACACAGCCTTACTAGGTATAACATAATTGTAATTAGTCTTAAGAGTGTAGTTCACTATTAAACGCCACTATAACCGCACCTTTGGTCCTTTATTCCGATCCGGGCTCTTAATTTTACACAACAAACTCATTTATATACCCTCATATAAGCACCTACTATTGATATGCCTTCATACCAAATTTCAAGTTCATGGGACTTATGGTTCCGAAGTTATAGCTGATAGAATATTCCACGCCCATGGGATGTGCCACGCCCCCTTTAACAAACGTTTATATATACCCTCGAATGAGCACCTACCATTGATATGTCTGCATACCAAATTTCAAGTTCGTGGGACTTATAGTTCCGAAGTTATAGCTGATAAAATATTCCACGCCTATGGGATGTGCCACGCCCACTTTTACAAACTCGTTTATATATACCATCCTATAAGCACCTACCTTGATATGTCTGCATACCTAATTTCAAGTTCGTAGGACTTATGGTCCCGAAGTGCCACGCCCTCGTATAAGCACCTATCATTGATATGTCTGCATACCAAATTTCAAGTTCGTGTGACTTATGGTTGCGAAGTTATAGCTGATAAAAAATTCCACGCCTATAGGATGTGCCACGCCCCATTTAAAAACTGGTTTATATATACCCTCGCATGAGCACCTACCATTGATATGCCTGCATACCAAATTTCAAGTTCGTGGGACTTATAGTTCCGAAGTTATAGCTGATAAAAAATTCCACGCCTATGGGATATGCCACGACCCCTTTCACAAACTCGTTTATATATACCCTCCTATTAGCACCTAGCATACCAAATTTCAAGTTCATGTGACTTATAGTTATGAAGTTATGGCTGATTAAAAGTTTCATGTTTATGGGAGGTGCCACGCCCCGTTGTCGAATCCCAAACTTTTTTTACCCACTTATAGGCCCAGGTGTCATGGCAATACTCTGTCAAAATTTTGTTCGATTCTGTCCGTCCGTTTACGCGCAACCTGGCACATACATACATATGTACATACATACTTCCTCAAATATATAGTAGATATATCCTTCTCTTAGCGTTAAATAATTTTTGGGGATGTCTCGGCCACAGGGCCACCTATCGTGTAAGTTTCAACTCCAAATATTTCTTTTCAATGAGCCAAATCAGCAAGTAAATGTTATTTTTATTTATATTTCTTTTCAAGGTACTGATATATGTTCCAAATATGAACCAAATCGGTCCAGCCGTTTAGTGACATTCAATGTACAGACAACTGTATGAAATTGTGAAATCGTGACGTCTCAGCTTTCTTCATTTTTCGGCAACAACAACAAAAAATTTCAAATTTTTTTAAATCAAAAAACCTTCTACACAGAAGTTCCAAAAATGTACTTTTTACAGAATTGAAATTGGTTCAGCCGTTTGGTCAGGCATCGCGGTCATACGAAAAACATTACATTTTTATATATATAGACTAGCAGACCCGGCGAACTTCGTCCCGCCCAAAATTTATTTTTTTATTGAAATATTTGGTCCAACATTTTCGCCAGCAACTCAAGTTCATGTTTGGTTTTGTGGTCGACAGAAGGCATATCCCCATTGCCGTCTTAAATAACCTTACGAAAGCGTTATACCGGGAAGAAGTCCTTGCGGCTCGATAGTGAATCGTCCTTGAATCTGTATAGTATAGTTGGTGGCAATTTACAAACTGGTGAGTATCATTGGTCCCCATTATGTTTAGTCACCGTAAAGCAAGGACCGCAATGGTTATGATGGTTGATTTAACGGGGGTAATTTTTGATCCCTGGTGCCTCCGAATCGACGATTTTTAGCAATAACTCGGTTCCAGCGCCACTAAAAATTATCATTAAAATCGTTTCGGTCGTTTAGGAGGAGTTAAGCCACCAGAATAAGTCTTTTACATACTGACACTCTTCGGCATTTTTTCCCATACAAAAAACTCTCACGCATTCATAATACGGAGAAAATGCGCAACATCATCAGCGAAAAAAATTCTCAAAAATCAACGGTATCTTATAGCCATTAAAAACTTGCACTTTGTGATACTGAAATTGAGTGAACTACAAAACTGCATACTCAAAATTTGGTACAAAAAAATTTGCTACGAAAAAGAAAAAAAACGCTGTATTCTGGGTGTATATATTTACAGATAGGTAAAAGTTTTAATATTTTTGGATTTTCCAGTAGCCCCAAAATCTCTATACCAATTTCCAGGACATTACCACAAATACTTTTAGAGATATACGTTATGGAAAATTCGATATGCATGGGTGATGCCACGCTCCCTTAATATATCCAAAGTCTGCAGTAGGTGTCCAAAATTTCAAAAAATCGGTACAGCCGTTCGCGAGATCACCTCTTATAAACAGAAGAAATAGCTGATTTCGGGAAGTTTGAGTTCCTACCGCAATTAAGCAAGAGGTAATAGAACCTTCCACGTAGGCTTAAATTAAAGCTAGAACTACAGACTACCATCCCTGAAAGTACTATTCCTGCACCTTGCACTAATGGTCACCTATACTCATTTACTTTTTATCGTCAAAAAATAGTGTAAAATCAGTGTTAGCTGTTAAATAAATGACTATAGGTAACCTTAGGGTCAAGGTAATGGTATTTTCAGGGATTGAAGTCAGAAGTCCAAGCCTTAATTTAAGCCTAAGTGGAAGGTTCTATCACCTTTTGTTTCATTGCTAGAGCTTCTCAAATATTGCAAAAAACGCGATTTTTTTTACATTTTCACCACATTTTTTTCAAAATCTGGAGCTGATGGAAACATGACACTTACGTATTCTTAATCAGCAAAAAAAACCTATTAAAACCAGCTTCAACATTTGCCGCATCAAAATCGGTGTTGCCCTGTGTTACCTACACTAATTATGTAGGGCTCGCTTGAAATATGTACATGAAGATGTATGGAGGTGCGCACACTACACCAACTTAATCGCTCCGACCAATTAGTTGTGGTGCAATGGAAAGACTAGCAAGCCCAACTAAATCGACGGCCGAAAAAGTCCGAGGTGTGCGATGGATCTAAAACATTTTAAACAAGAAATATTGCAGTCACATTTTCGTTTTTAGGACTTTTATTCATGTGATTAGCAGAGGCAAGAATGTATGTATTAAACATGATTCAATAATAATTATTGAATCATGTGTATTAAATACGTATATCTATATATATATAAAAATGGTGTGAAAAATGTATAGTAATTCATCAATTGAGAACGGTTGGACCGATTTGGCTTAAATTTTTTTAGTTGTTCGTAATTGCCAGGAGAAGGTCTTTACAAAAGAAAATTTTGGGAAACCCCTCCGGGAAAGTCGGAAAATTGGAAAAGTCGAAAATTAATTTTTTTGTATGGAAAATTGTGTGCAATTCCTTCGGAATGGCATTCGAATGGAAAAATAGAGAATTCTAAGTGGAAAACTCGGAAAAATCCGGAAGAACGCAAAAAATTTGAATTTTTTTCGACGAAAGCTTGGAAAATTTCGGATAATTGTGAAATTCATTGGGAGCTTGAATCAATTGGGAACAATTTTCTCCTATGTTTCATAACTGATTCAAATGGGTGCTGCTTTTTTGGAAACGTGTTTAGAAGGAGTGCACAAATTTTTAATTTTTCCGATAGTTGG